CGACGACCGCGGGGGTCATCGACGACCTGCGACGCTTCTTCGGCTGCCGCTTCGCCTCGAGCGCCCTTTGTTCCTCGAGTTCCGCCTCACGCTGCGCCTGCGCCTGAGCCGCAAGCTCCTCTACGAACGTGAGGAGCGGCTTGGGTTTGGGACGGGGGCCGGGAGCGGGAGGTGGGGTGGGCGCCTTGGGGCGGATGACGGGTCGGACGAACGAGTCCACGCGGCGGCCCTGGCGGAGAAGGAGGGGTGCGTCGGGGTGTTTGGTGCCCTTCATGTTGCGGACGTACATCTGCAACGAAGTCTGCGTGCGTTCGAAGCGAATTGACAAGGTCAGCGGGGACGAGTTCCTCGGGAGGCTGACGGCGGCCGGCAACGCACCATCTTGGACGCCTGGTCGCGTGCGCCGAGGTCGTACGTCTTGCGTTCTGCATGAGTGAAGTGGTGGTCGGGGCACCAGACGCAGGGGAGAAGGACGCCTGTTGACACCACGATCCGAGCGGGGGAGGGGTCAGCTCGCCGTCGAGGGTTCGCGCGGGCGTGGGAGCAAGCAAGCGCACCTTCTTCGCCCTTGAAGGTGAGCAGGACCGTGTCCTTGGGCAGGCGCTTCTTGTTGCGCACCGGCTGCACCTCGAACGCGAACTTGTATCCGGCCGCCCAAGCACACGAGACGTGGACGTGCTTGAGGCAGTCCTCGCACTTGACGGTGCACCCGACGCCGCGCTCCTTGCAGATCACGCACTGCTGCATCACGGAAACCAGCAAGCGTGAGCACGATGAACACCCAAACGAGCGAGCGAACGAGCGAGGACAAGCTCACCGCGTTGACACGCGTCTCGGGGAGGGAGCCAAACCCTTCGACTGGGTAGATCAGCCCAGGCAGACCAAGCTGCAGCTCACGGTGCCACACTGCACACAGCGAATGGACATAGCTGCGGCGCGAGCGGAGCGAAAGTCAGCAGGCAACTCACAAGTCCTCATCGAAGCGGGACTCACTTGGACAGCTCCGTCTCCTTGAGGCAGTCGAGCGCCGTCATCGGCGAGCTCGGGTCGACGTTCTGCGGCGGAGGGCACAGGACGCAGTGCGGGTGCAGCACCAGCGGCTTGCGCTCCTTGTCCCGCTCGCACATGTTGCAGAGCCACTCGTCGTGCGGGATCTCGTAGTCGAGGTCGACGCCGTAGCAGGCTGCAGTCAGGAGCGTTAGCGAGTAAAGTCGATGCAAGAGAGGGTTGACGCACAGGCATGGTACGAGATGGTGCAGTTGTCACACTGGAAGAGCGCCGTCTTCGGCTCGAACCGCTTGCAGAGCAGGCACGGCTTGGGCGGGATGACCGGCTTGGGCGGTGGAGGAGTCGGCTCCTTCGACGCGGCGGCGAGGGCGGCCTGCGAAAGAAAGGGAGTCAGGGCGAGACTTCGACCGCGAGGGAAAAGACGGACGCACCTCTTCAGCCAGGCGTTTCGCTTCCTCCGCTGCAACCCTTTCGCGCTCCTTCTTCGAGTCCTTCTTCTTGTCCGGAACAGGCTTGAGCTCGTCGCCGTAAGGCGGGTACTGGGCGCCGTCTGGAGAGAACCTCATGTCAACTTCCACCTCTGCCGTCCTCGAATGACAAAGGAACGCACAGTGCCGCCACCGAATCCCGCAGTTCTCGCACATGACCATCGGGTTCGGCTTGACCTCGAGGTCGCAGATGTTTTCGGGACACCAGTACCACTTTTCCGTCTCGGTCGTCTCGCAGATCGCGCAAAACCTGTTGCGCTTCTGAGCGGGCGTCTTGGGCGGCGGAGCGATCGAAGCTTGATCGTCGGCCTCGTCGTCGCGCTCCTCGAGCTCTTCGAAGACGTCACGCGTGACGCGCCTCCTCGACTGCCGCCCACTGCGGGTCGCCACGACAGTCGCCTTCTCCTCCGGCTGCTGCGGCTCGTCCTCTTGCAACGTGTGGCCGACATGGACATAGTACCGCTTGACGACATCGCTCATCTTCTTCGTCTTGATCATCTTGGCAATCTCCTCAATGTCGTTGTGATGCTGCTGCGCGCCCTCGACGAGCTTGCGCTTCTCCTCCTCGTTCCACGATGCGTGTCCAAGCGAGGAGATCAAGACTTTGCGCAGCGCGGCGATCGTGTCGTTCACGTTGCCCTCCTTCTGCTCGATGAGCGAGACGGCGCGGTTGAGGACGTCGACGCCGCAGGTCTGGTACATGCTCGTCTTCTTGACGCGCTCAAAGAGCTCGGCGAGCGCCTCGTCCGACACCTTGTCCGTCGGACGCCAGATGACCTGGACCGCTTCTTCCTCTCCTCGCGGGATGATCTCGATGACTGCGTGGGCGGAGCTGTCAGCGCTCACTCACTCTCTCGTCAAAAAATCGTCTCCACGCACGCTTGGGCTTCTTCGTCTTATCCTTCTCGACCCGCCCGAGCGGTGTCGAAGCCCGACTCCGCTTCGGCTGGAAATACTGCTTCGCCGGCCCAGGCGTGCTCTCTTGCTGGCCGCGGACGGGATCCCAGTCGGGCACGATGCATTGGAAGCGGTTGCCAAGACGCTGCGAGCGGGAACGCGTCAGCGAGGAGAGAATCAGAGTGAGGGAGAAGGGACGAACCGTAGAGGCGCGAGGATAGAGCGAGTCGTGCGGGTCGAGGATCTGGTAGGCGTTCGTGTGCATGCCTGCAGTCGCGACGAGTCAGGCACTGCAGCAAGAGGAGCGGGAGACGAGTCGACGAACCGAAGTACCGGTACGGCCAACCGTTCGTCATCCGCCAGTCGTGCGGGTCAGGGCGAACGCCAGGTCCGACTGCGACAGGGTCCAAGATTAGTCCTCGCCCAGAGACAAGCTGGCGAAACTCGAACGCACCCTCCCTCGCCTTTCCCTTCTTGCTCGCGTGCAACATCTGGCTCGTCCCAGGCGGCGCAACCGTCTTGACCCTCGCAGCCGCCTCAATCGCAGCCTTCCTCACAGGCGGCGGCAACCCCGTCTCGGCCCATGTCTCGACCTCCTCGTCGTGAGCGCGCGAGCAGGGCGCGCAGGACCAGCCGTAGCCTGCTTTGGGCTTGGCGGCGAGAGGTGGGTCGACGCAGTTCAGGTGGTAGACGTTGGCGCAGCGGGCGCAAGAGACGGATTCGGCGCTGTAGAGAAAGAGTTAGCTCAGCTCAGGAGACTTCAGGGGAAGATCTCGCTCACTTGGCTGCCCACCGACTGCAGACGCAGCATCCACGCTGAGCGTCGCAGAGCTCGGCGCCGGTCCCGACTTCGCAAAGTACGAACTCGAAGTGCTCCTGCAGGAAGGTGATGATCTCCGCTGCGAACGAGCGAGTTGTCAGTAACTTCGAAAGGGTCGCAAGTCAGCGAGACTGAACGAACCTGGCGCGTTCTGCACTTTATAAGTCGGGAGGGCGTCGAAGTAGCGATGCAGGTAGCGGTCGTAGAGCTGTGAAAGTGCGAGCAGCTCAGCACAAGCGATTTCTGAACGTCCTCGGACCTGAACCCACCTGATGCCAGTAGAACGTGTCCTTCTCCCGCTTGTAGACCTCGAGCTCTTCGATGTGGTCGCGGTGCTTGACCATGCACACGCCGCGAATGTACGAAGCCGGGACGGTGTCGGAATGCATCGTCGCGACAATGATGCGGTGGTCGGCGACATAGCGGTTCGTGATGTCGCGCGTGCGGAAGTAGTACCCTACTCGTACACGGAGCTCGGTCGTCGGGACGGTGCGGGATGAGCTGGTTGTGGGCGGAGTGGGAGAGTCGGACGCGGCTTTGGGGACGGGCTGGAGGATCTCGATCACACGGGCGATGAGGTAGGGTTCGCCCTCGCGGTCGTCCCATGGTGGCGAGACGTAGACATGGTCTGCGGGCGCAGCGCGGGGAGTGGGTGAGGCAAGCGAGCGGTGCGGAGATGAGGGAGGGGGGGCAAGAGGTCAGCGAGGCGCGGTGAGCGAAGGAGGACAGCAGACGGACCGTTCGGGACGAGGGGCTTGCCATCAAAGACCAGTGGCCCTGTCGCCTTGATCGCCCTGGTCGCTGCGCGCGGCATGGCGCCGTCTGAAGCGCGACGAGGGAGAGGGAGGGGAGGGGTTCTCGAGGCTCAAGAAGAGCGAGCGAGTGGTGGAGGGGTTGCTGGGTGCGCTGAGACTGACCAATCGGCGGCTGTGGAAGCGCTCCGACAGGCGATGCGCGCAGCAGAGCGACACAGCGCGAGGAGCGGGAGTTGTCGAGGTGAGAGAGTGAGGGCAGCAGGCGAGGGAGCGGAATGGCGTTCACAACTCGCTTGATGGGGGCTTTCTGTACATTCAGTGGCTTGCTGACACACTGTTGCTCACGCTCACGGTCGCGGAACTCTCGAAAGAGGCGGGAGGGCAGCGAGAGGGCAGCTCATTCTGTGAGGAGAGCGGAATGGGGCTGTATACGGCTACACCACGACTAGGAGACTCCCCGCTCATCCCACCCGACATTCCACACCGTGTGAGGGACCCTACGGAGCCTGAAGGCGCGCGAGGCGGCACGAGAGCCCTGGCGACCAGGACATTCGCGGCGACTGGCCCCCCGTCGTAAACAAGCGCGCCACGTTCAGGCTGAGCTGAAGAGAGTCCATGCCCTCAGCATAGAGAAGCTCCCTAAGCAAGGCTGCGCTGGTCCGCGCGAGAGGTGTAGCAGTCTCAGCAGGAGGTGTCGATGGACGGCGAGCGAGGCGTGCTCGGCGAAATCAGCCTTCCGCAAGCACATACGACCCTGCGCCGAGCACAAACACTCCTGCACGCCTCATTGAGAAGCCCTACGGCGTCACTGCACCCTCCTGTTGAGCCTGAAAGCCAGTTGTGCTGCAGGAGGAGTTGTGGGAGGAGGGGGTTGGCAGCGTAGTCTGGCGCGGTCGGGCAGGTCGCGGGTGGGTTCAGTGAGCTGTTGAGCGCCTGTTTGCTGCTGTGCTGTATCGTCAGGCAAGCTGGTGCGGTGTTTGAGGGAGCTGGTGGATGTTCATCTCTCCACTTCGCCTCCGCCTCATCACCACGAGGACTAACCACGCTTCACACGGCTCCTAACTGCTGGACTGGCCGCTAGCAGATCTTTTTCAGCGTCTTCGAAACCGGATGGCGCGGTCAGCATCGCTCGAGCGGGATGGCGAGGTCGCAGACAGCCTGGTCGAGGGTTCGCGGCGGCAGTACTTCCTTGGGACAGCCATGCTCGTGTTGGTCGTGCTGATGTGGACGTCGGTGTGTATTTAGCCCTCTTGAATGGCGCGGAGCTCGTCTGTTGCTATGGACGGACCGCACGACCCCTCCTTCGCACGCTGACCCTCCTTCGCCTCTTTCACAGGCGAGCTTCTTGATGAATAGTAAGTCAGGCGGTACCTGTGGACGAGATCAGTTGCCTCTGGAGGGCCTGCAACAGCAGCTGCTCTGCCTGGGGTTCTTTACCCTCGTCGACGGGTCGTCTCTGCCCGTACATCTTGCTCACCGTTCGTCTGCTTGCAGTCATGTTCACCGACATGAACTACGACAAGCCCTTCCTCGTCACCTGGCTCTGCACGGCCTCCTTCTCCCTCTACCTCGTCCGGCCCGCGTGGAAGTACTGGCGAACACGGCAACTCCCTCACGGCCACGCGACACTCGCCTTCCCTCCCCATTCCCTCTCCCGCACGACGTCAAAGAGCAGCGTAGACGGCATCCTCCGACCACCCCTATCTCGACGAAGAGACACGAATCGATCGCTCTCGCGCCCTCGTCCCTCTCGCAACGACATGGGACGGTACCTCCCCGTCCTCCCCGTCGATCCGCCTCTCACGACTCGCGATACAGCACTCCTTGCCTTCCTGTTCTGCGGACTTTGGTTCTGCGCGAACTGGGCGCTCAATGCGGCGCTCGGATACACGACCGTCAGTAGCACGACCATCCTCAGCTCGATGTCGGGCTTCTTTACCCTAGCGGCAGGTGCTTGCGCTGGCGTCGAGAGCTTCTCGGTCGGTAAGATCATGGCCGTTGTGCTCAGGTCAGTCCGCATCGTTTCTTGACGAGTCCTTTCCGCTTACCTCCTTCTCATGCAGCATCACAGGCGTAACAATCGTCTCTCTTGGCGACTCGAAGATGCCGACGTCTCCACCTGTCACCCCACCCCCCGCTAGCGATTCCGTCGGGGTCTTCAATGCTCCTACACCCTCGAACCCTCTCCTCGGCGACGCCCTCGCCCTCCTCTCCGCGCTCGCCTACGCCGCCTACGTCCTCCTCCTCAAAGTCCGCATCCGCAACGAAGCCCGCATCTCGATGACCCTCTTCTTCGGCTTCGTCGGCATCTTCAACATCCTCCTCATCTGGCCCGTCGGACTCTTTCTCGACCGGATCGGCGTCGAGAAGTTCGAGTTCCCGCACGGCAAGATGCTGTGGGCAAGCTTGCTCATTAACGCAGGCATCACCTTTGTACGTCTCGCTTCTCCGCCTCTCCCCGCTCGCCAGCTGACGAGTATCGAGCAGGTCTCGGACGCCCTCTACCTCCGCGCCATGCTCCTGACCTCCCCACTAGCCGTCACCCTCGGTCTATCTCTCACCATCCCCCTCGCTCTAGCAGGCGACATCCTGTACCGCCGCTCTGGCGAACCCATCTCGCTCGCATCCCTGTTGGGCGGGCTGCTCGTCCTCGGCAGCTTCGTAGCGAACGGCGTGCTGGATTTGAGGGAAGCGGAGAGGCAGAGCGAGGAGTTGGTGGAGGAATTGGAAGATGCGGAGGAGCGCGGACTTGGAGTCGAGCCGGAGAGGGAGCGGTTGCTGGGAGTTGAAGAGGAAGACAGGCTACCGGGGCCTAGTAGACGATTAGACTAGGACGAGATTCGCGGCTCGTCCGCGCACATGTACACAGTATGCTATCAGCTCATGACGCGACCTGCAGCAGCAAAGGTCGAGCGAGAGCAACTCGGTTGGCTTCCTCGCACGCTTCCCCTCTTCGGCGACAGCCAGGCAAGCATTTTTACATCTTCAACGCGAGTAGCAAACAGAGGAAGGGTGCTAGGGCTACACGGCGAGTGAGATACAGGATGCGAGAGTGCGAAAGGAATGGTGTGAGCCGACCAGCGACCCGTCAGATGCGCGGAGGAAGGTCTACTGAAGCCTCTATGCACTCCGAAGGCGAAAAGGCGACCTAATACGGACTGCCTCGAACGGTGATCCGACCCGGTGCAAGGCAGATAGCGAATCCAAAGGCGAGGTTCTTGTAGAAACCCGCCTGGAGCGTCGAGCCGGGGGTCGTCCAGGGATTGTCGACGAAGGCTTGGCGAGGAGGAAGCGGGAAGAGCGAGGTGAAGCAGGCGGAGGACTCGACGCCGCCAAAGTTGGCCTGTCGAGCCGAGTTTCCGATGATGGCTGCGCGGTTCAGCAGGTTAGCTCACGCGCGACGCAGGCAAGCAGAGTCGAGAGCGCGCACTCGTGCTGTTGTGACCGCTCGCAGCGATTGCATAGCCAAAGTAACCGGTCGAGCCGCTGCGGAAGACGTTGTTCTTGATCGTCCCGCCGTACGTCCGCGATGCCGTCCGGTTGTCGCTGCCCCAGACGAGGCCACCAACAGCGACTCCGACCTTGATGAAGTTGGCGTTTGCGATGACCGTGTTTGACTGGACGACAGTGCCTGCGAAGGAGCCGCCGTACGGGTTGAAATCGACGAGGTTGATGCCGCCCATGAGCTGCCGGTCGTTCGAGATAACCATGTTGCCCTGGATGTTGCTGCCGAGAGCGCCAAAGATGACGACTTCGAGCAAGCGAGAAGAAGGAGGAAGGTCAGCTATCGCCGCTTTCGGGTATCGTAACGCTGCTACGCACTCGCGCCGTCCGTCGCATCGGTGACCGTGTTGCCCGTGACGGAGCTCGCCTTGCAAGCAATAGAGATGCCGTCGGCCCAGTTGTACGGTCCATAGGAGCCGGTCGAGTCTCGCTTGCGGAACTGCTGGGCGCTCGAAGGGGCGTGTCCTGCGCGACAGAGTGAGGATCGTCAGTATCGTCTCGCAATCGTTGACACCGCTCAGCCGGAGACGACTTGGTAGAGCTGACGATGTCGCTGAAGAACCGCGCTCGAGTCCGCTCGACGAGACGAAGCTTACCTGAAGGACCGATAGCGTTGTTGCTGATCGTCATGCTGCTACATTGGTTGCCGTCGCCTTCGGCAGCGTGCAGGCAAGACCACCCGCGAGGTCTGCGACAGGGCGGGCTCGTCAGACTCGAGACAAGACGGAAGGCTTGGCGTACGCACTCGAAAGCCCGAATCTGTGTGATGACCTGGCCGACGGTGTTGCCGCCGAACTCGAGAAGCGCCAACCCGCCCTGCAGAAGCCCGAGACCAGGCCGGTTGCCGTCAACCTGGATGTTTCGCAGGACGACGTTGTTCGCGCCAGGCCATGCGCCGTAGACCGCGCAGCTCTGATTGTTGGCCGTGACGCGAATAGTCGCGCGGGTGCTGCCCGTCGGATTGCCTGCGAGAGCCGGACGTCAGCTATCGCTATTTGCGAGAGCTCGAAGAAAGCGGCGAACCGTATGTCGTCAAGGTCTGCTGTGGAGCGGTGAAGAAGATAGCGTTCGTGGTCGAGATGACAGCGCCGGGACAGAGGACTGCCAAGGAGACAATGAGCAAGATGATCACACATGCAGACTCGAAGGAATCCGTCACGCACAGACTGTCGTCCCTTGTCCGCCATAGTAGAAGAGCGACGAGATCGTCGCATCAGTCGCAGTCGAGTCGAGGCAGGAAGCGCGAATTTGGAGTCGTCGCTTTTCCAGCGTTGTGTCCTCGTCTTCAGGGTGATCTCCAAACAAGTCTCGCTCGACCAGCGACGCCTCGCTGTGTAGCATCGATCGCGCGACTAGGGTTCCGCCTTCTTGTGCTGTCGAACTTGCGTTGATTTGAGCGTCGTGATCGAAGATGTGGCTCAAGGCGGAGAGAGGGAGGATTCGGGGAGTAGGGCGGATGTGCAAAGGCGTCGCTTTCGACGGGGCGGTCGCATCGGCGGTGGGAGCTGTAGGAAGCGGGTTCAGCGAAGTTCAAACGCGGTGATTCGGGGAGAATACGCACTTGGGGCAGTGGCGGCCAGAGGCAGGAGAAAGGCCGCGATGGTAGCGAAGCGACCAGCGCTTGCGAGCATTGCGAGGCTGAGGAGAATGTAGCGGACGAGAAGAAGAGGAGAATGAAGCAGGAGCGCCGGCGTCGTAGAAGGTGGTGCGAGAGAGCGAAGAGGCAGCGGCCGGAGAAATTAGCCTTTGAGACGAGATCAATCAATCCGACGCGCACTCGGCCTTCTCGATTGTACGCCTGCCGAAGAGCTAGAGACTGCCGCTCGCTGGCGGCGAGATGCGTCGAAGACGGATCCGACGTCCGCTTGAGAACGGCCGCCGGTTTAGGAAGGCCGGCACCTGGAGGCCCTCCGTACGTCTGCAGCCCGTTCTTCGCCCTTCGCCCAGTGCCGCAACGGTGAGCCAGCAGCCAGCTGCACACGGCGAGGCTAGAAGAGCGGCGCGAGAGGTCCAGGTCGACCAACCTAGACTTGACGAGGTGCGAGAAACTGCGAAAACGGCGGTCTCGAGGAAATGCAGCGAGACTACGCACGTCGTGGCCAAACATCCACAGTTGCTGTCGTCAGCGAAAACGGAGAAAGAACCGAAACGAACTGTCTATGGGGAACGGATGAGGGTGATACGGAATGTCGCGCTCAGTAGCGCGGGGTGAAGGCCGTCTGCGAAGAAGGCGGGTACAGCGGGACCTTTTGGTCGATGGTCGACGAAGGAGGGAAGGGCGAAGCAGACGAAACAGGTACAGACGACAAAGGGTAGGCGGGCGAAGTGGACTGAGACGGCGGTTGCGAGGAGTAGATGGGAGGCTGGGTGTACATCGGCGGCTGAGCGTAAGGTGAGAAGGGAGTCGCGGCGGGCGAGGCGTAGGGGACATGTTGGGGAAGACGAAAGTCGAATTCGAAGGTGCCGGCGAGTTCGGGGAAGTTGGAAGAGGCAGAGGGAGGCGGCTGCTGGATCGATGAGGTCGAGGGTGCAGCCCTAGTTGGGCGAGGCAGAGGGTGAGGAACCGGGCGCGGTCCTGTCGACTGCTGGTGGAGGGGAGCCGTCGGGTAGTTGCGGGCAGGAACGGCCGAAAAGTAGTCGCTCGGCGAGCTGAACGAGTCCGTCTTGTGGATGAGCGTCTCCTCCTCGCGGTCATGCATAAAGAGAGGCTGAGTGACGAGGTTCGGGTCGAGCGCCGTCCTGAGCGCGCGAGACGGGAAGGCATCGCCGCCCGACTCGTCCACGCGAGTGCGCTTGATCTGCCTTCGCTGATCGCGCAGCGCCGATAGCGCTGCTTCCTTGTCGAGGAGGAAGCGGATGACGCGACTGCCTTTGCGGCAGAGGCTCGAGAGGGAAGCCTGGCGCTCCATCTGCTTGTAGACGGCGTTGAGCATCGAGCGGATCTGGCTGACTTCGGAGCCGTCGGGGAAGGCGAGGATCTCGACGCCGAGAACGATTGCAGCGTTTGTGGCCTGTGCGCGGGAACGTGAGTACAAAGCTCGGCGGTGACGGGCGCCAAGGCCGTCTGCTGGAGAACAGCAGGACTCTCGCGCACCTTGTAGCTGAGACCTCCCCACCTGTTCCCTGAGCACGAAGGCGAACGGTAGACGGCAAGCAAGAGCTTGGCATACTTGATGGCCTGCGACCTCGAGTACTGGTACCGTTTGTCGGTGGCGGCGAGAAGCATCCAAGGGCGGTGGAGACGGAGAAACTCGCCGGCGAGCGAGATCTGAATCATGCAGGCCCTCATCTCGGTGACCGTGACGTGCGTCGTCGGCCGGAGGAGTGCGCCGGACGGGTCGAGGCGGAGCTGGTAGCGCGACGGGATCGACTCTTCAAACTCGCGCAACTCGGCGTCGAGGGCGAGGATCTCTTCGTACGGAACAGGGTGGATGCCGAAGGCGCGGTCGTTCTGCGGGATGGAATGTGAGCACGAAGGCTGGGTGACGCCGAGTGAACGAGCGCACCATCTTGCGGGCAAGAACGGCGAGCCTCATCTTGACGATGAGCGAGGTCATGGGCGTCTCCTCGAATTTGGCCCTGCGCTTCTCGACGCCGGCCATTGCAGTCGCTTCGTCGAGGATCTCGTCTGCGGGAGGTCAGCGACGTCAGTTTAGCCGGTGGACGGAGAGTGTGCCTGACAACGCACGGTCGTGGCAGTCGAGCGGGAGCTTGGTATCAACCTGTTCAACGAAAGAGTCAGCTTGAAGTCAGCGAGAGGACGAAGAAAGGGCACGCACCCCGTTGAGGTCAAAGACGGCCCACGTCCTGCTCAGACTCGCCGACGAAAGGATACAGAGCATGAACAAGTTCCAGAAGAGCCTCCTGCGCTCCTCGGCTTCGAAGAAGGTGTACTTGCCCGGACTGCGGTCGGGGTCGCGGTGCAGTCCGAGACTGAGGGCGATCTGGACGACAAGCGAGAGGAGACCCATGCCGGCGCCGCTGCGTTCGCCGGTCGAGATGAAGACGAAGTAGGTCGAGATAACAACCGTGGCGCGGACGGCTTCGACTGAGGGGTTGTCGAGGAACTGCAAGAGGAGCAGGATTGTCAGCTCCCGCTCCTGATCGACCTCGTCTGACCTCTGCCGCTAAGACGAGAAGCTCAGGCTCACCCTGCCGCACGTCAAGGCGATCATCGCTCCTTCGAGCCAGTAATCGACCGTCTTGTCCTTGTCCGCTCCAAATCCGTCGCGAATCGCACGCTTGACGGGCATCATCGCAAGACCGGTAGCGAGGACGCCGAGGAAGGTGGCGATAAAGAACGGGTCGATGGCCTTGTTGCGCTGCTCCTCGTCGGGGATGCGGAGGGCCGCTTCGAGGTCGCGCCACTTCTCCTCGAAAGACTGGAGGTGGACTGGGTGGGCGTACCTATGGGGCGAAGGACGTCAACTACGGCGCGAGAGGTGACGAGCAGCACGAGCGCGCACCAGGAGACGTAGCCGCTGAAGTACTTGTAGGCGGAGAGCGCCTGCTCGTGAATAGCTGCAGGCGCCTGCGTCAGTAGCAAGACCACTGTCAGTCACGACTTGCGAGACTCACGAAGGAACTTGAGGGCCTCGGAAAGCGGCGGCGCCTCCTTGCCGAAAGAGGCTGTTCCGAGCGCGCCAGGACTGAGCGGCGACGGCGCCGAGCTCATCATGCTAGGCGCAGGCGAGGCGCCCGCCTCGCTCGGTGCGCCGCTTCTCGTTGACGCAGACGAGCCGAGAACGAAAGCGGGCGACTGGGCGACGCCGAACTGCTGCGGCATGTGCTCGACGAACTGCTGCGCCTCGTCGACGAACTCGAGCCCGCGCTTGTTGCCTGGCGCCCAGCTGTCGGTGCCGGAACCCTCGACCACGACGAACTCCTTGATGGCGAGCTGGGCGAGGCCTTCGCAGAGGTCGTTGGCGCGGAGGTCCATCGCGAACTTGGGCGTGTTGGGAGCGTGTCTGCGTGGCGAAGCGTGTCAGTGGAGCTCGTTGAGCATGCCGAGGAAGGTCCCTCACGATGCAGAGGCGGAACCTTGACGACTCGTCTTCGAGGGGAAGTTGTCGACGGAGGCGGCGCCGGGCGAAGGCGGTTCCTCGAAGACGCCGTTCGGGGACGAGAGCTCGTCCTGCTGGCGCTGCGATGTGAGGTAGCGGACGAGCGACTCGAGGCGAGCGACTTGGTCGCGCAACTCCTCGTTGTCCGCCTGATCCCTCGCCTTGTACAGAGGTTCCGCCCCACACCTCGCCTCGAGTTTGGCACTGATCACAAGGATCCGACCTGTTGCACCGCAGCTTCTTCTTGCGGCATTGGGCGCAAGACGACGGCTTGCGGTTCCTCGTGCGCTTCGTCTTCTTCCCACCCGAATCCTTGCCGTCCTCGCTCCCATCGCCCTGCGACGCAGCGCTGTCCTTCCTCGTATCTTTCTTCGCCCTCTTGCCCGTCGACTTGGCGGCCGTCGAGCCAGAGAGGGATTGAGCCGGACTGAGGTCGGCAGGCGCGACGGTCCCGCTCGCGACTTCCGCACTCGACGTCGACCCCGACGAGCCCGACGCCTCGCGCCCGTGCATGTTGGGGATCGACGAGTCGAGCGCACCGAATGCGGCGGACGAGAAGAGCGAGTCCGTTGTCCCTCCTTCACTCGTTCCCAGCCCAGCTCCTCCCGCTCCTCCTCCTCCTCCGAGGTCGAGGTAGCTCGCGTCGAACGCGGCTTGTCCGTTGTCGCCGAACAGCTGAGCGAAGAGGGCGTTGGTGTCACTCATGCGAAGCGATGCGAGATGGGGTGAAGTAGCCTGTGTCGAGAAGAGAAGTCAGCAACAGTCAGCTCGGCGAAGCACTTGGACTTGCGCAGCGGCTGTTCGCAAGTGTCCTTGGCGGCTGTACGCTCCTTGTGTATGCTACACGAGGTGCTGGCGTGTTTCCGAGCGGGGTCGCGCGATGGGCGGGTGGGGAGGAAAGAGAACAGCGAGTGCGCCTCTGTGGGCTAGTCGAGCGGTGTGTGTGGACTCCAGCAGGTGCAGCAGTCGTCCTCAGCGTGTCGAACAAGCCAGCGAAGCAGTGTGAGCGAGCGAGAGGAGTTCAAAGGCCCTCGTGGGAGTCGATTGGGGAGCAGCGGAACTCCGGACGCAACCTTGTTCGCGAGGTAATGCCAGTCGTATTCCCACGCTTGTGATGCGCCAATACAATCCCGTCCGCGCCTCCTCCTTGCCCACCTCAAACCCCGCTTCGAGAACAGCGCAAGCGTAGATCCCCTGCTATTGCTGCCAACACCGCCATTCGTCGCCGTTCGAGTGCTGGAAGACGACCCGCCGTGTTCGCAGGCCGGCGGAGACGGAGCGTACGAACGTCCGTGCGGAATTAAGCATGCGACTCGGAGATTGTCCTCGACTTGCTCGATTTGCCGGCGGGCGGGCGGACGGGCTGCAAGTTCGCTTCGCTCGTTGCTGCAAAGGCTGGTAGGTTCCGAGGCGGGAGGCGGAGATGTCGAAAGTACGTCCGGCGTCTAGGCGATAAACACGAGGGAGTTGGCGAAGGCGAGGAGGACGAGAGCCGCTGCTGTCGGCGCAATGCGTAGATGCGACGCAGCAGCCTTGAGCGAGAATGCTGGACAGACAGAGTTGTCGGACTGCAAGGGTCAAGGATTAGGACGACCGGCCTCATGCGAGTGAGAAAGCAGAGAAAGTCAACGGACGAGCGGGTTGGCTGGACAACAGCCGCTTTGGGTCGTCAAGCTCGCGTCAAGACCTAAAGCCTTCACGAACGGTGCACGCCGTGTCAGTCAGCTTGCCAGTAGAAAGGCGAGACTCGTCCGTACCGACTGATTACCCCATCCCGCCCACCTTTCACACGGGACCTGCTCAAAATCGACGATCCATGAGCCAAAGTCATTGTAGCCGTACGAGGCGTTGACGGGGAAGAAGGAAAGAGGGATCGCGGGGGAGGGGGAGGAGACGTCGAAGTGAAGGAAGAAGCCGCTACTCGTACAGGCAGTCAGTTTCTCAACGAAGCACAGGAAGCGAGGATCGCTGCTCACGCTTTGCTGTGGAGGAGAAAGGGTCCCGTCAGCCGTTGCCGCCGGAAAGCGAGACAGCGCCGACTCACTTTGGCTTCGAGGCGGTTGCCCCGCACCAGGTCTTGTCAGGGTCGTACAGCGGCGGAGCGGGACACTTGTCCTGCACATTCACGTCTCGTCAGTCCGCCCTTACCTCGTACAAGCGAGCAAACGCACCGTGATCTTGACCACAACACTCGCATTCCTCCTCTGCTCGTCATTCAGTAGCCACTCCGGCGTCGCACCGTAGGTCTGGAGTAAGGTGAGATTGAAGCATTGTCCGCATGCTGGGCCGGAAGCGAGTGATGAGCCGTAGGCGGCTTGGGAGAGCGCGGCGGTGGGGAAGTAAGTCGAGCCGGTCGAGCAGCCGCATCTGAGGAGGTCGAGTCCGGTCAGCACGGGAACGAGCAAGCTGAACAGTCGCACGCACGAAGCGAGAGCGCCAAGGGTGAGGTCGTAGTGCGTCAGCGAAGCCTTTCCTTGCTGAGGGATGGGGAGGGTCGAGATGTTCTTGCCGACCGCCGGTGTAACGAATGTCGCCGTCAAGAGCAAGACCAGAATGCCGGTGGCTCGAACTCGCTGGCAGCGACGTTGCGGAACCATGCGAGCTGGTGGATGAAGCGATGAAGCGAAAGGAGGGAGGTGACGAGAGCAGGGGCGCGAGCGGGACTGGCGGGACGTGACGGGCCTCAAGCGGCGTGTTCGTGTAGCTCAGGCATGGCAAGCACGCGATCGCCAGGCGAGGGGAAGGCGGACAGCGAAGCTGGCGGAGCGAAGGAGGGTAAGGCTGAGTGAGAGCAGGCGGACGGATAAGTTGCGCGCTTCCGAGCTACAGGCGGTGTAGAACGAGTCGTAAGCCGCAAGAGCGAGAAGTGAGCGCGATCCAGCCGGAAGGGAGGAGAGGAGAACCGAGAGACGAAGCCAAACGCAACCCTCTCCAGGCGCGTAGTGGCAGGAATGGATAGCAAGCGAGATGAGGAGACGTGGGAGAGAGGGATACTACGATGCGTCGGAAAGCGAAGACCTTGGGAGCGGGAGCAAAGAGGCGCAAACGCTGCACCCCCCAAACCCCGCCCATCAGACACCATTCCTCCCTCCTTCTCCTCCGTGCGTGCGCGAGCCCGTACACATCGAGACGCGCTTAGGTCGCTGTGAGACGAAGAGGAAGGTTAGTCGCCAATCAGAACGGGACGAGGGAGACGCGGGCAACTCACCGTACTTGCGAGTCCACTCCCTCGCGGTCGACTCGTACCTCGCCCTGTCAGTCTTGTAGAGGTTGGCAATCTCGGGAACGAGAGGGTCGTCGGGGTTCGGGTCCGTCAAAAGCGAGCAGATCGAGAGGAGGACTGCAGAAAGCGCCAAGGCGAGTCAGCGGAAGAACCTTACCACCAGGGCGAGAGTCCGACGCACCCTTCGAGATGGTCAGTGCGGGCGACCACTGTTCTCGCAGAATGTCGAGGCAGATCGAGCCGTTTGCGTTGATACTGCGGGTGGAGGAACAGGTCAGCGCAAGTGTCGAAGGGCTTGGCTCCCTCCTGTGACGCACTTGGGGTGGTAGATCTTGGTCGTGAAGGCAACCTTGGGAGGCTTGAAAGGGTAGTCGGTCGGGAAAGTGATGGTCAGGAAGAAGACGCCGCCCGAGTATGGCGAGTCGGCGGGACCCATGATCGTCGCCTGCCACCTGGAGGGGTCGGAACAGGGTCAGCGGAAAGTGATGAGGCAACAACGTCGACGCGAGCTCACCTGAACAAGTCATCGCCGGTCGGGCCAGCAGAGCACGACGACGGCGGGTCGCGTCCGAGGTCGAGCAATTCCTTGTTGATGCGCTTCAAAGCCCTGTGGACGTCACGCAAGCAGCAGCCAAGTCAGCCAGCCATTCATCTCGCGTATCGGCCGGATTGTGGGTGATCTGCCACGAGCGTGAGCACGCAGGTCGAGAGCGAACACATTCGGTTGTAACAGCTCAGCGGAAGCCAGCTGCTTGACGAGTGCATGGTCAGTGAGCTTGCCAGCTTCGAGAACATGCGAAATACACGCACCAAACTGTGTGGACCGGACGGGAAGCGCTGTGGCACTCGCCGGCTGATGAAGCATCGAGGCGGCAACACTCCCTCCTCCAACGCCAGGACGCCGCAGAGTCGCACACCAATAGTCCTGCATTCTCTCATGCCCGCCTGGTATGTCTATTGCTGCGCCGCGCGAGAGGACACCTTGTGCACGAGACTCCGTCGGCGGCCACCAGTCGAGCAGGTCGTCCCGCGTCCCTCGCGCACCGCGCAGGCGTCCGAGCAGACCAGACAGGGCGTAAGGCAGCAAGGCGAGGCCAGACTGGCGCGAGCAAGCTTACATGTCGTCTGTGTGGCGAGGTCGTGTGGTGGTGAGAGCGAGGGAGTGTGCGACTTAGAAGTCAAGTCCACAGTCTCTCGCCAACATAGCAGCGAGGAGCAGCGCCAGTAGCGTGGAACAGCTCACAATGCTTTCGTAATATTTGTGCGGGCACGGGCGTAACCAGCGGAGGAGGTGTGCGCAGCTGTTCTTCCTGAGGCAGTCGGCGTCGCAGACTCTCACGTCCTCGCCAGAGCTACTCCAACGGCTTGATGAGGCGTGTTCAACGCATGAACTACGCGGGAGGGCCAGATGGGTGCTTGAGCCGTCGAATTGCCTCGTTCGCTTGTCGTGCCGCGTCTCGCAATCCCAGGCTCGCAGCGTGCTTGCCCGATCTGACGAACCACTGCTCCGCCGAAATGGGGTCCTTTGACATCTACACGGCAGCGAAAGCATTAGCCAACAGCAACGGCGCGAGAAGCAACGAAAGAACGCACCTCGCTCAGCTTGCCGAGGTTGTAGCTCGACACGATTGCCGTCAACTCGCACTCGCGCTCCTCCCGCTCGACAAGAGGGACGTCTTTGCCGCCTCGCTGCGCGTCAGCCTCCTTGCGGCAGCCGTTGGCAATGTTCAGCGACTGGCGCGCCCATCGCGCGGACGCCTCGATCGCTTGTTGCGAGGGTGACGGAGCGGCGACGAGTGCGGAAGAGAGGTTGTTCATCTGGTCACAAACGTCGTCAGAGAGGTTGTGGGAGACTCGCAGGGCAAGAGCGTACGAGGGTAGCAGCGTGACACCGGTTGCCGATCGGAGGCGGCGCAGGCCTTGGGCCTTCCTTCGGTGGAGGCGGGAGGAGGATGGCGATGGCCTGTTGTAGCAAGGGCTGGGCGAACCTGAAAGCCGAAGGGTGTCAGCGAGGGCAGACATTCGAGTTTTGGGAGCCAACGCACTCGATCTTTCCCATTCGCGAGTACAGGTCGCCGAGCCGCTCCATTGCTGCTACGACCTCGACGTCATTCAGCCATTCCGGCAGTTGCAGCGTCTCGTCGTCCTTGATCTCGCCCTTCTTCGTCGACGCCTGCGGACCGGCTGCGGGTACCGGCGCATCCTGAGAAGCCATCTCGTCTTTGACCCGCTGCTTCTGCTTGTCGGTCATATTGAGGCGCATGAGCTCCTGCAGCGCCCATGTGTAGTACCGCTCGGCTTCGCTCGTGCCTTCCGCCCCTCCAAGCCTGATCCACAAGTCTCCCAGCTTCATCGCGATCCCGGCGCCGCGCTTGACCTCCTCGACGCTCGGCTGCGCTCCTTCGCCCACCTTGAAGCCGTCGATGAGCGCCGCAATAGGCTGAAAGCCCGTGTCGTACGCTGCAATCGCCTTCGACAACTCGCCTGCCTCTTCCCACATCGCACCCCACCGAACAGCGATGCCCGTCAGCCGCATGACGGCTTCCTCCTGCGTCTTGCCGAGCTCGCCAGTGTGGAAGAGGTCGAGAGCGAGCGAGTAGGCGGCTTCGAAGAGAGTCGACGAGCTCTCATGCTCGCCCGTAGACTGGGCACGAAGGGCGGAGCGAAGTTTCGAGCGGATAGGGTGACTCGCCGTGTCGGGATAGGCCGTGAAACTGCCGTAGAACTGCCACAGACCGTACGACGTCGCTCCGATGCCTGGTGCGAGAGGGTGGATCACGGGGTGAGCTCTCGCGGCTGTTCCAGAGGTCAGGATGAGTCGAAGCTAACGCACCGATGAGAGCGAGAGTTCCAAACACATGTGCGACCCTGATCCCGCCCTTCGATGGCTGCTGGTGTCCAGCGTGCGTCGAAGCGAAGCGAACAGCTGATGACGGCGGTTTCAGGGTATGCCCGCGCGCGACAAGCCGCTGTGTGGGTCGGGAAGGCCTCAAAAGCCTCAGCGGTGCTCGTATAGCCATTTCCTGCAGCAACGCGGGTTGTGTCGAGCAGTGTGGAAGCGAGCGAGTTTCTCGGGATGGTTGCCCTCGTCCACAGCCGCTCAACTCGCTGAGCTGCTTTGAGACCGCCCAGACAGGCCTTCTGAGCTTCCTACAAGTCCAGCAAGACCGCGGCCTAGCCACCAACCTCGCTACTCCCGCCGCTGCACCCTCCTGCCCCACCTTTCCTCGGGTTGCCTCTCGACGCTCGACTCGCCAGTGACAGACCTCGTAACGCCAAGCGGACGCTCAGGATGGCCTGGAGGTGCTCTGGCTCAACCAACGCCGAGCTCGTGGACAATCTCGTTAGGGGAAGCCTGCTGCAGACCCCGCGGGTCATCGAGGCGTTCAAGAGAGTCGACAGACGCTTTTACGTCCAGGACAAGTACGAGGCGTACCGGGACTCGCCGTCGTACATCGGGTTCGTCTATCATTCCAGTACCGAGGCGGAATCGTTTCGCGGTGGACTCGCTCTCTAACCTCTCCCCCTCGCTTCGTCGCAGGTACGGCGCCACGATCAGCGCTCCCCACATGCACGCTCAGTGAGTTGCTCACTTGGTGTCTGCTGAGCCAGTAGTCCAGACGAGCGACCAATGACGCCCATTTCGCCGGATAGCGCGGTCGAAATTCTCGAACCTTTCTTGAAGCCGGGTGCCAACGTTCTCGACGTCGGTGAGCATCTCGTCCTGTCGCAACGTGTGACAAGAGGAGCTTGCCGAGCGCTCTTTTGCGCCAGACACGTCTACGCACGCTCGACGACCTTCCCAAACTGACGAGCTCGCTTCCACTGGCAGGCTCTGGCTCAGGCTACCTCTGCGGCATCTTCCACTCGCTCGTCCAGCCCGGAGGCACGGTCCTTGGCATCGACCACCTTGACGGCCTCGTCACGATGGCTCGCCGTAACCTCATGAATGACCCGTCAACCGCACCTGCGCTCTGCGACGACCAGGACAGCCCTGTTGATCCAAAGGTGCCGAACAGCAAGACGATGCAGGTGATCAAGGCGGACGGAAGGATGGGCGCGCCGAAGGAGTTCTTGCCGCACGGAGGGTGGCAGGTGAGCAGGACTTTCGCTGCAATGCGGCGAGTGCTGGCCTCGCAGCCGTTGTTCGCCTTGATCCCTGCGATCGCCCGCTTACGTAACTTACAAGCAGGCGATCCACGTTGGCGCCGCGGCTCCCCATCTCCCGCAACCTCTCATCGACCAGGTGCGTTTCTTTGGCTCTTCCAGCTCGCCTCTCCATCGTCCGCCCGCCGCTGATCCTGACGGCACTTTCACAGCTCGCCTCCCCCGGCCGCATGTTCATTCCAGTCGGCAGCGCCCTCCAAGCCGTCTGGCAGATCGACAAGGACGCCGAGGGAAACGTGACGAAGAAGAAGCTGTTCGGGGTCTCCTACGTTCCGCTCACGGATGCGCAGGAGCAGTACCCCGAAAATGGGTCGCCCTGAGGGGCAGGAGGGAATGTAAGGTTGCTTACCGGGGACGAGAGGCTGGAGGGATTGCTTGCCTCTAGTGTAGCACGGATCGCCTGATGTAGCTTCTTTCGTTCTGCTTGTTGTGTAGTTCAAGTCGCTTGCATACTCGTTCTCTCGCGTCGCAGACGGAATCCGACAGAGCGGCGAAAGCGGCAGGAGAATGGCAACAACAGCTCGGCGAAGTCTACAGCAGGTCTACCCGTCGAAGCAGTGACATCTACCTCCGTTCCTGCTCGCGCGCCTTCCTCGCTCTCTCCTCCGCCGCCTTCCCCGCCTTCTCCCTCCGCTCGTCCACAAAGTCTTCCAACCCGAACCTGAGCTGGTGATCCGCCTTTTCAGCCGCTTCTTCATTCAGGCGATGCTCTTCCGCTGTGCGAGCGGACGAGGCGGATGGAGGGTCCCACGGCTCGAAGGCGGGCGAAGATTCGAAGGCGGCGACTTCGCGGTTCAGGAGCGAGTTGAGCTCTTTGAAGTTGTTGTCGCTGCGGGAAGGCTGGCTCGTCAGGACAAACTCAGGGGATAGCGTAATAGAAAGCGACGTACTGGTCGCCGAAGCGGTTATGGCTCAACTCGTGAAGCAAGACCCGCCGAACGTCATTGTACGAGCGCAGTCTGCGAGGAGTTACCCGGTGAGCACAAGCTCTCAGATGATCAGGAAAGAGCCTCGCGCACCCGTCCAGGTCGTCCGTGAGTAGTCGCAGCGAAATCTTCTGCCCGGCGTTCGTGTTGAGCCCGAGCAGTTTCTCGCCAGTCGAGAAGTTCGTGTGCAGAGTCGGATGAAGCTCGGTCCTGTGCACGTCAGGCGTTAGTCGAATACTCGAGCGAGCTGAGGAAGGGATGAACACACAGAACGCCAACCGCGAACTTGTGCCGCCGCATGACATCCTTGACGGCCGGATCCTCCGCCAATCGCTCGAGCATGGCCTTCCGCCGGTCGAAGAACGGCACGCTCTTCGGGAATGGTTCGAGATGATGAAAGCGGAAGTTGGCAGGGTCGTTGAGCGAGTCGGAGAGGGAATGTACGCCGGATCGAGAGGAAGGTCGGGCTTGATGTTGCTGGTGGAAGAGGAAGGCGGTGTGTTTCTTCCGCCGCAGTGCGTCCTGCGCCTCCATCGCTTCCAGTTCGCTCCGCTTCGTGCCCACCAGGAGCGCCTTGACAGGCTTAGTCCGACTCTCCGCCACCGTCGTCGAGCCGAACGTCCGTTCCAGCGCTTCCTGAAAGCTGCCCGCTCCGCCTCGATTCAAATCCAACTTCTTCCCCTTGACCAGCAGCTTCAGCGAGCTCGGCGAGAGGTCGAACTCGTTGGAAAGGGTTTCAGAGAGTGAGGCGGTTGATGAGGATGGCGCGAGTGAGAGGTCGACTGTACGGCCCGCGTGGGTGACGCTGAGCAGTATTAGCAAATCCATAGCGCGGCTGAGCGTGTCAAACAGCCTCTTGACAGCGTGTGTGAGCGTAGAGGAGGAGGTCAAGGTGCGAGGGGCGGTGCCAGGTTGTCGTAAGCCTCGTTCTATTCGCTTCCGCAACGCTGTGAGAGCTAATACCACCCGCAGAGCGTGCTATGGACCCGCTTGTGTCGATCAGGCTGTCACTACGCTGGCCGCCCGATCCACCGACGGCGGACGAGGACGTGCTGGTGGTCCAAGGTCGCAGCGGCTTCTTCCTCGACTTACGGGTCAAGCGGCGACAGGTCAACTTTGCAGGTGGACTGCAGAGACAGGCAAAGGCAGGCGAAGGCGACTGCGAGGTGACTTGGGCTACCGCTGGGTGGAAGGAGGTGCTTGCACCTCGACCAGGCGAAGGTGCGTCTTCCTGCGCGCTCGTCGACGCTCTCGCGCTAATCAACAGTGCTTCAGACCGCCCTCGAGCCCGCTTCACACCGGTCATCGACTCTCGACGACCCGCCTCTTCAACCCGCTCTCGAAACTCTCCGCCGCCAGACACTCCGCCAGACGAAGGAAGCTTTGAGACGCTCACGAACGGCGACGTACTAGAGCGCGGCGAGATGGAGAACCCGGAAACGGGCAAGGTCGCCCAGTACGAGGAGGTCTGGCGGAGATTGCCTCTCTCGCAGGACGACGGACCGCCCCGAATCGTCATTTTCGAGTCCGTGGGTGACGAGGCGGACGGAAAAGCATTCGTCGGACGAGTCGGAGACTACGAGTTAGGCATGGTAGACGGAGCGGAGGGGTTTGGCGTGGTTAGGCGCGAGAGGAAGGAGGGCATTTGGCAAGTCGTCTGCGCGAACGGGGCTGGACGGCTTCTGCCGACTTTAGACGGCGCGCAAGAGTATGCAGAAGGCGATACGGTGCAGCTGGCGGGACGAGCATGGCGAGTTATCGAGTCGACTTGATGCCGCAACGACGGAGACGCTTCGACGCCCACTCCGATGCACGCGTCCGCCGAGGACGCTGCCGAGTCCGTCCTGCCCTCGTGCAGACTCGTTCGGCCAGCGGGACATGCTTCAGACGCGTGCATCGGCCGCGAGAAGGTGGACAAGGATGTCGATCAGCTTGTTTCCACGTCGCCCGACTCGTCGCCTCTCACTGGTCGCATGCGACTGTCCTCCTCATTGCGTCGTCGTGTCGTCGATAGACCTCCAGAAGCGACGAGCAACGAGCGTCAGCGCCGGCGAGCACAGGAAGAAGGAGCGTTCCGCAGTCGCAGCGGAAGCCGGTTTGGCTGGCGAGATGAGACGCGGTGCCTTCCGTGCTCGGCGAACCAGCGTCGAAGAACCTTGTTCAGTGAGCGGGTTCTAGAGTCGATTGTCTCGCTCTCCGCGCCGTCACTCTGCGGCTTGGTTCCCTCCAACTCGCTTCTCTCGCTCGTTGCGCGCTCGACATGCTCGAGTCCGACGCTTCGCCAGAGCAGCCTGATCCGCTTGTCATGTCCAACAGACCTGCACAGGGTACAGGCGAGGCGCCGCACCCCGCGGACGACCGGGCACTCGAACAGGAACACCTGGCAGACGACACTCGCTCGTCGCATGGCGAGGAGGTCGGCGAGGGCGCGGTTGGACATTGGTTGGCGGGTGAGGCAGGGCACGAGCGAGACGTGCTCGAGGCGTATACGTTTGGGCGGACGCCAGCGCTCAAGCTGGGCGAGCCCGTCGGCGAAGGACGAGTGGAGAGCGGAGATGGAATCGTCCGCAGCGGCCACCTTTCGGAGCAACGGGTCATCCGTCCGACGCTCTCACACCGGCCAAGCTCGCTCGCATCGCGACTGAGTTCGTCGTCGACGGGCAGCGCAGGCGCACCGCCAGCACCGCGCCCGTTCGCCCTTCCTCCCGGTCTCGCCGCTCGTTCGCCTGTTCCTCCGCCTTCACTGTCTTCTGCCGCTTCGACCTCGACCATCACTCGACAAGATACATCACAATCCGGCGGACTCGCTCCAGCCTACAAAGCCGCGCCGCCGAATGGCCAACCCCGCTCCGCCCGGATCACCTACGAACCTCCCATCCCTCTTGACGTCCAGCTCCTCCTCCTCACGACTCCTCCGCCTCCTCAGCGGAAGCGAGTCGTCATCACCGCTCCTCCACAAGCGGGTGACGAGGCGGCAGCAGCAGAACGAGCGCGGAGAGCGCGCGAGCGAGACTTGCGGGACGAGAAGAGCCTCGTCCGTCGCGTCAAGGCGTTCCGCATCATCAACGACGGCGTGCGAAATCTGAGTGGCCGGCGAGGAAGCGGAGATGCCAGCGACGAGCTGCCCATGGTGCCGCTGAAGGGCAGCGAGACACTCGACCTCAATCGGCCGCGGAGGGAGAGTGCGGACGCGGGCAGTCGGCGAACGGGCAAAATCGACAGTCACACGCCGGCAGACTTCGTGCCAAAGACGTGGAAGGACTTTGAGCAGGCGTACGCTGCCGGCCAGCTGGACATCGAGGATTCGCCATTCCCGCCCATCTCGCCTTCCTCGTCCATCTCGACCGCGTTTCCTTCCCGAGGCCAGCCTGTCGACACGTCGAAACTCTCGCCGTACGAAGCGGGTCACTTTCCCGCCCCTCTCCACCTCTCGCCCGTTACGCACATCCGAGAAAGGGTCATCGCGCAACTTGACCTCCTTGGCGAGACCTACCTCCTCCCCGGGACTCCCGCTCCCGCCCAGCCTCCCTCCTTCGCCGCCTCTTTCGGTCCTAGCGCCGGCTCGTCCGTCGAATCGTGGTCGAGCGGCCACCGGGACTCGCTCGCCCACTTTACCTCGTCAACAGGCTCAGGCAGACGCGAGTCCAACGCTTCGACTGCACCGTCGACGATCTACTCGCACTCTCCAGCAAAGTCTCAGCACCCTTTTGCCGCCCCTTCAGTCTTCCCGACCTACGGAGCATCGCACGCCTCGCCTTCAATGCCAACCTACTCGAGCCGTGGTCTCTCCAGTCTTCCCGCCAGCCCCGTCGTCGACGGCTTGTCCGCCGTCAGCTTGCGCAACCATCCGGCCCTTGTCTCGCTTCTCCACCGCGCCCTTTACGCTCCTCTCGGCTCACCAGCGCTCTTCAAGCCTGCGCCCAAAGCCGCCATCATTACCCTCTTCCCTTCCTCCTCTTCTCCTTCCAGCTCCGTCACCCTCCTCGCATCCGTCAACCTCCCCGCTCGAATCACCTCCTTCCCTCTCACTCACGCCCTTGACGCCCATGTCCTCCTCAACGGTGAGCGAGGGCTCGTCATTGCAGACACTGAGCGCGACTGGCGGTGGCGGCACAACGAGGTCATCTGCTCGAGCGCTTCGAATCCGATTTACGGCCCCTCGAACGCTGCGAAACCTGGCCTTGGGATCCGCTTCTATGCTGGTGAGTACCCGAGACTACTCAGCTCTTTCTCCTGAAACTGATTCGAATCGTTTCCGCAGGCATGCCCATCTTCGCTCCTTCGCTGCCCAACCTCGCGCATCTCGAGGAAGAAGCAGGCGGACGAATCGCGATTGGTACGATTGCGCTGCTGGACGACTGGCCGCGGATGTCCAAGTTCGGCTCGAGCGAGAAGGCCAAGCTGTGTGTTCCGCCTCTCGCTGCGAGTCGGTTGATCGCCTGACACGGTCGTTCTGCAGCCGCTCGCTCGCAAGCGAGATCACCCGCGAGATCGAGCAGTTCTTGCGCGAGCGCGAGAAGCACAACTTTGCTCGTCGCGGTTCCGTCTCGTCCTCTGGCGGCAGTCGGCGACCCTCGCATGCTCACTCGGCCGCCAGTGCTGCAGCAGCGCAACAGGCCTCGGCGAACATGGGCCGCACGCGTTCCGACAGTCACGCCAAGAAGGTCTCTTTCGACGCCGGCGCTGGTGGATACGACGGCGGCTATGTCGACTACAACTCGGTCAGCCGGCGAGGTTCAGTCGACGAGCGGGACCGGGCGCCGACGCCTGCGCCATCTGGACCTTTGCCTGAACCGCCCGCCTCGTCCCCTCTCTCCTCGTACGGCCTTCCCCCAATGCTCGCCTCGACACCCGCCTCGTCCATCTTCGCCGCCGCCTGCACCTCTCTCGCCGACAAGCTCGACCTCGCGCTTGTCTACCTCGTCTCGCTCGACACGTCGTCGTGCCCGCCCGCACCCTCGGTCTCCGGCTCGCCCTCCCTCGAGCTCATCGCCGCGCACAACCTCCCGCCCGACGCCAACGCCTCGTTCGACCCTTCTCTGCACCTCCGCGCACTGCGTGCACCGGAAGGAGGCCTGCTCTACCGCTCGCCAGCCGCAAGCTCCTCCGCCTCGCCGGCGATGCGCGAAGCAGCCAAGGGCGGCTTCGCAAGCGGCATCCTCCTCCCCGTCGCCGAAGTCGAGTCTCCCTCGGCTCGCGGGTGGGTCCTGGCGGGCTACACGATGGACAGGAAGCGGCGGTGGGGCGAGGGCGAGATGAGCGAGTTTGAGAAGGTGCGCGAGCAGCTCGCCAAGGTCGTCCTGTACAAGGAGGCGGCGTGAGCGAGCCAAGGTGGACAGACACTCTACGAGTCAGTATATCATGACGATACCCTCGACGAGGACAGCAGGAACTGTCCCTCCGTTCGTCTATTCCTTGCATTACAACCGGATCTGTATTCCACCTCTGTTCTCGCCCGCTCGTCTCGCTTCGTTCGTGCTCGTCGTCGACTGTATCTAGTAGACTATCCCAGCTCTCCCACAGCTCCCCTCAAGGACTTGGGATTTTCGCGACCTGCTCGAACGCGCCGCTCGCGTTGCGACACGGCGCGTCCTCGAGGTCTCCCTCTTCCGCACACTCTCTCACCGCGCACAAGGCTTGCTGGCCAGGCTACACACCCCAAGTGCTCTCTGATTAGCTGCTACTCGCCCTCATTCTTTGTCCCGCCGCCCCGCGACACCCCCATCATGGCAGACTTCGCTGGACTGCCCCCGCTCCAAGATGACCAGCTCGCGACCCGTACTCGCCGGTGCGTGCCATGCAGACCACTCTCCAGTCTGCTGTTGAGCTCACTCGACCGTCTGCACGCAGCTTCACCGAGTTCCTCGACCTCGACGCCGGCTCAGAGGCGGCAAAGGTCCGTTCCCCCTCCTCGCTCCTCCTCTCGGCGCGATGCTGACCCTGATATGCACAGCGCATGAGCATGCACTACCGCTCGTCCGTGAAGAAGATGCTGGACGCGCAGGAGAGGCGGTTGATCGTCAACCTCGACGACCTGCGAGACTACGACCGCGAGTTCTGCGACGGGTGCGCTTGCGTTCCCTCAGGAAGCTACGCCAACAGCGATGTTGACACAGGCTACACGTCCGCAGCTTGCTGAAGGAACCGGCAGCGTGGCTTCCGGCGGCAGACGCGGCTTTGAAGGACATGGCGGTCAATCAGGCTGGCGACCGGATGGCCGAATCCGTTAAGCAGGACACCTTCTACGTCGGCTTCAAGGGATCGTTCGGCGAGCATCACACGACGCCGCGAACCTTGCGCAGCGACAAGCTCGGCAAGATGGTCTGCATGGAGGGAATCGTCACGCGCTGTGCGTTTGCCTCGTACTATCGTGTTGCGAGCTCGTAGCTGACTGACACATGTACGCAGGCAACCTCGTCCGACCAAAGATGCAGCAGTCGGTCCACTACTGCCCGACGACGACCAACTTCCACACGCGCCTCTATACCGACCGCCTCTCCTCGGCCGCTGCGTCCGGCGCGCCGGTCTCCTCCTCCGCCTACCCCCAGACCGACGCCGACGGCAACCCTCTCGAGATCGAGCACGGCCTCTCGACCTTCATGGACCACCAGATGATTTCGATCCAGGAGATGCCGGAGCGCGCGCCGGCTGGACAGCTTCCTCGCAGCGTCGAGGTCGTCATGGAGGACGATCTTGTCGATAGGTGTAAGCCTGGAGATCGCTTGCAGATTGTCGGCGTCTATCGCAGTCTCGGTGGCGGAGCAAGCGGCAGCGCGCACTTCAAGTGAGTCGGCCTCGACTGGAGTGTCTCTCTCGTTGGCTGACGCAAGACCCTTGCAGGACCCTCATCGTTGCAAACCACGTCGTCCTTCTCTCCGCCAAGGCCCGCGCAGGCATCGCCCAGCAAACCATTAGCACGGACGACGAGCGCGAGATCCGCAAGGTCGCCAAGCGCAAGGACGTCTACGAGCTGCTCTGGAAGTCGCTCGCTCCCTCGATCTATGGCTCAGACTACATCAAGCAGGCGATCCTCCTCCTCCTCCTCGGCGGTGTCGAGAAGAACCTCCCGAACGGCACCCACTTGCGTGGAGACATCAACGTCCTCATGGTCGGTGACCCCTCGACCGCCAAGTCTCAGATGCTCCGCTTCGTCCTCAACACCGCTCCTCTCGCCATTGCCACGACCGGTCGTGGTTCGTCCGGAGTCGGATTGACTGCCGCCGTCACGACGGACAAGGAGACGGGCGAGCGTCGACTCGAGGCGGGTGCTATGGTCCTTGCTGACCGCGGCGTCGTCTGCATCGACGAGTTTGACAAGATGTCCGAGGTGGACCGTGTCGCCATCCACGAGGTCATGGAGCAGCAGGTGCGGCGAAGCTGTCTCTTTCCCTCGCTCGCTCGCTCACCCTGTCGAGCGCCCGCAGACCGTTACGATCGCCAAGGCCGGCATCCACACGTCGCTCAACGCGCGCTGCTCGGTCGTCGCCGCCGCCAACCCGATCTACGGCCAATACGACGTCCACAAGGACCCGCACAAGAACATCGCCTTGCCCGACTCGCTCCTGTCTCGTTTCGACTTGCTCTTCATCGTGACGGACGAGGCGGACGAGCAGCGCGACCGGCAGATCTCGGAGCATGTCTTGCGCATGCACCGCTATGTCCAGCCTGGACTCGAGCCGGGCGCGCCGGCTGTCGACTCGCTTGAGCAGCACTTGAGCGTCGGGACGGAGCAGCCGGCTGCGAATGCGGGTGGACCGGCCAAGACTTCGCCGTTCGAGAAGTACAACGAGCTCTTGCACGGAGGGATCGCGCCCAAGGTCGTCAAGAAGCGCGGAGGGAAGAAGGAGACTGTCCCGCCGGACGTCCTGACGATCCAGTTCGTCAAGAAGTACATCCAGTTCGCCAAGTCGCACGTTCAGCCGGTCCTCACGCCCGAGGCGTCCGAATGCATCACCAAGGCCTGGACGAACTTGCGCAACGACGATGCGGGACCGAACCAGAAGAGGGTGCGTTCCGCGTTGTCCCTTCAGTAGCCGAAATCGACTGACAGCCTCACGCTGTCGCAGACCTCGCCCATGACCGTCCGCGCGCTCGAGACGCTCATCCGTCTCTCGACCGCGCACGCCAAGGCGCGCATCTCGCCCGACATCCTCATCGAAGACGCCGAAGCAGCGGAAGAGATCCTCCGCTACGCGCTCTACAAGGAGGTCGTCAAAGCCTCGAAGCCCAAGTCGAAGCGGCGGAGGTTGAACAAGCCCAAGCGGGGCGACAAGGGGTCGGACGAGGAGGACTCGGACGAGGACGAGGGCGAGAGCAGCAGTGATGATGAGGACGATGGGCGCGGGCCGAAGAGGATGGAGATGCCTGGGAGTGCTAGGAAGAAGGGCACGAGGGCGAACCCCGCGAGGGGTGCGAGGGCGGGCAGCGCGAGGGCTGGGAGCGCGAGTCCGAGTCCGGCGGCAGTCGAGGCGGAGGGCGAGGGAGACTGGATGATGGTTGAGCAGGGTCAGCAGCGCATGGAGGAGGACGAGGACGAGCAGGCTGCGGCGGGAACGCCGACGCCTCCGCCTGTCCCGGCTGTCGAGCAGGCTGAGAAGGTCGCCCAGGCTGATCTGCCTGCGCAGGGTGGACTCGAGCCAGCCAGGTGCGTCGCGCAGGTTGCTTTCGTTCTCGACGTGGTCGCTGACTCGGCTCGCGATCGCAGGTTCAAGCTCTTCCAGCAGCGACTGGCGGCCGTGCGCAAGGCGACGTTCAAGGACCAAGACGAGATCTCGCTCGGGCAGCTGATGGAGCCGCTCAACGCCGACCTCGCCGTCGACCAGCTGTTCGGCCGCGCCGAGGTCGAGCAGATCCTCGAGGCGCTGTCGGAGCAGGACGACTCGGTCATCACCTTCCACAGCGGGGTACTCGTGCGTTCGCCGGTCTTCCTGCTGCTCTTGCACGCTCGCTGACGACGTTCCTCGTTGCTGCAGTACTTCTAAGCACGCCCTCCTCGTCGCCTCGTCGCCTTGTATCCCTCCGTCCTCCTCCTCGTCTCGCCTCGCCTTTCGGCTGTCCTCCGCGTTTCCTCCAGGGTTCTCTCGCCGTCGCCAGTAGTGCCTGTACTGTAGTCTGTCGTCGCTCGCCATGTACTTTGATCCGTCGCCGCAGACCTGTTGTGGGTCGCTCGTCAGTAGTAGGAGAGCAGTCGGCCGGATCTCCGCTGCCGTTGCACTGCCTCGCTTGTTGTTGTGGCTCCTGTCCCGCGTGCGTACGAGGAAGCGAGGCGGTGAAGGGTGCTCGAGCGGGAAGGCGTCGCTCTCACTCAACAAGCCAACTTGCTCGTGCTCGTGCTCGTCGTCAGCGCATAAGCTTACGACTGCTACAAAGCTACAAGACACGCTCACTCGCACGCACACACCCACACAACCCGGACAAGCCGCGCACTCCTCGCACTTGCCGTCGACCACCCCTCTCCGCCTCCCTTTCCCTCCGACTCGCCTCGTGCACGCTCGACGCGTCCAATCTCCCCAGCACCACGTGAGTCACGATCAGTCGACATCGCTCGCTTCGAATGGCACGCGCGACGACGGACGAGCGAAGGAGGGGATCGTCCCGCATCGCTCAACGGCATCTCCGCCCGTCACTCGACGGCGTTCAAGGGCGCAGTGGACACTCGCGAATGGATGCAGGGACAGATGCGAGGGATTAGGCGTCTCCTGCGCGACTCTGGAGGACGGAGAGGGCTCGGTGCGCGGTGCGAGCTGAAACGGGGGTTCTGCGGGTGTCGGTGTCGAGGAAGGTGGCTTCGCGTGGGACGGCGAGATCGAGGGATGTGACTGGCGCATGGGAAGAAGGCTTACGGCGGGCGTACTCTCGCTCACTCGAGGGGATTCGATGCGACTTGCTCGCTCAGCGGGGGGAGCGGGGAGAAAGGTGGCGTGGTTGGATGGGTTCGCGCGTTTGTGCAGCAGGAGCAGAACTGCGAGGAGGAGGAGGGCTGACAAGTGCAGTTGAAGGTGCTGGCGAACTTGCATACTGACCAGACGTCGCTTCCTCTCCACCCGCAGTTCCCTCTACCTTCCTTCCCTGAACCATGTACGCGCTTTTGCTTGCGATCGTTCTCGAAGAGAGAGCTGACCATTCACCATCCGGCAGGTGCGGCATCTTCGCCTATGCCTCGTTTCTCTGCGAGCGTGTGCGTCTCCCCCCTCCCGTCCTCCATGCGCCACCGCTCACCTGCTTCTCCGCCCCCAGGACCGCCGCTTCGTCCTCGAGACGCTCCTGAACGGTCTCCAACGCATGGAGTACCGCGGCTACGACTCTGCCGGCCTCGAAATCGAAGGCGACGACCCGAACGAGCCGTACATCTTTAAGGAGGTCGGAAAGGTCTCGATGCTCAAGGAGAAGTGCATGACGGCGCCGATCGACATGGACAAGAGCTATGTTAGCCAGACTAGCATTGCGCACACGAGGTGAGGCGCGGATGGTGAGGGGTTGAGTTACTTACAAGGCGCGCTGACGATCGTTCCTTGCGCAGGTGGGCGACGCACGGTGTTCCTTCGAGTTCGTTCACTTACTCCGGCTGATCCGACACCCCGGAACTCTCGCTGACCCGGTTCGCGCGCAGCCACCAACTGCCACCCTCACATGTCGGACCCCACGAAGGAGTTCACGGTTGTCCACAACGGCATCATCACCAACTGTTCGTCCGCGTACCCTTCTCTGCGCTCTCCCGCGCGTGAAGCTGACCCGACCTCGCACGCCGGCAGACAAAGAGCTCCGCCTCGTCCTCGAGAAGCGTGGCTTCAAGTTCCAGACCGACACCGACACCGAGGTCGCCGCCGTCCTCGCCAAGTACCTCTACGACTCGCAGAAGGGAAAGCAGATCAGCTTCACTGCACTCATCAAGAGTGTCATCATGGAGCTTGTGCGTCGAGTCTTCCTTTGTCGCGCTGCCCCGTTCTCCTGCAGAGGGCTGCTGTCTGCGCTCGCTCGTACCGATTACTGACTGCCGCTCTCGTACGCAGGAGGGAGCTTTCGCCTTCGTCTTCAAGTCGATCCACTACCCCGACGAGGTCGTCGTCGCCCGCCGCGGTTCGCCCGTCCTCATCGGCGTCAAGACGGAGAAGAAGCTCAAGGTCGACTTTGTCGACGTCGAGTTCGCCGGCGCAGCGGACGCAGACAAGGCGCTCGAAGAGTCGGCCGCGCCCGGCGCCGCCAACGGTCTCCTCGGCGTTCCCGGCCCGGCCAACCCTCAAGGCGGCAAGCTCGTCCGCTCGCAGTCCCGCGCCTTCCTCTCCGACGACGGCATGCCCCAGCCCATCGAGTTCTTCATCGCCTCGGACGCCTCGGCCATCGTCGAGCACACCAAGCGCGTCCTCTACCTCGAAGACGACGACATCGCCCACATCGCCGAGGGAGAGTTCCACATCCACCGGTTGCGCAAGAACGACGGTACTGTTTCGACGATCCGGGCGATTGAGACGTTGGAGATTGAGTTGGCGGCCATCATGAAGGGAAGCTTTGACCATTTTATGCAGAAAGAGATCTACGAACAGCCCGAGTCGGTCGTCAACACGATGCGCGGCCGCGTCAACTTCGACACCCACACCATCACCCTCGGCGGTCTCAAGGCCTACCTCCACGTCATCCGCCGCTGCCGCCGCCTCGTCTTTGTCGCCTGCGGAACCTCGTACCACTCGTGCCTCGCGGTGAGTCTCGCTTTTCGGGGCGGAAATGGATGCCGCCCCGCGCCTCACGTTCACGATTGCTGACTTGGACCGGCCCGCGCAGACCCGCTCGATTTTCGAAGAGTTGACCGAGATCCCCGTCAGCGTCGAGCTCGCGAGCGACTTCCTCGACCGCAAGACGCCCATCTTCCGCGACGACGTGTGCATCTTTGTGAGCCAGTCGGGCGAGACGGCCGACACGATCCTCGCGATGCGGTACTGCCTCGAGCGCGGCGCGCTCAACGTCGGCGTCGTCAACGTCGTCGGGTCGACCATCTCGCGCGAGTCGCACTGCGGCATCCACGTCAACGCCGGGCCCGAGATCGGCGTCGCGTCGACGAAAGCGTACACGTCGCAGTACATCGCGCTCGTCATGATGGCGATCCAGCTCAGCGAGGACCGCCTCTCGATGACGGCGCGCCGCAACTCGATCATCGACGGCCTGCACGAGCTCCCCGGCCAAATCCGCGCCATCCTCCAGCACGACAGCGAGTTCCAGGCGATCGCGCCCATGCTCGCCAAGCAGACGTCGCTCCTCATCATGGGCCGCGGGTACCAGCACGCGACCTGCCTCGAGGCGGCCCTCAAGATCAAGGAATTGAGCTATCTGCACAGTGAGGTCCGTACTTAGGGCATTCCCGGCAGCACGAGACTGTGATCCCCTTCTCACCGTGAACTGACACCCGCACTACCGCGCCGCGCAGGGCATCTTGGCGGGCGAGCTGAAGCACGGCCCGCTGGCGCTCATCGACGAGAGCATGCCCGTGATCCTGGTCATGACGCAGGACTCGATCTACCCGAAGGTGCGGTCGGCGCTGGAGCAAGTGACGGCCCGCAAGGGCGCGCCGATCATCATCGCGAACGACACGGACCCGTCGTTCGACGACGGCAGGCACCGCGTGATCCGCGTCCCGCGCACGGTCGACTGCCTCCAGGGCATCCTCAACATCATCCCGCTCCAGCTCCTCTCGTACCACGTCGCGATCGCGCGCGGGTGCAACGTCGACATGCCCCGCAACCTCGCCAAGTCCGTCACCGTCGAGTAGGCGCGACGCACCCCTCCGTGCTGTACCTCCAGTCTTCGTCCTTTCCTTCGCCTCGTTTTGCTCAGCCCTCGCCCTCTCTCTCGCTCTCGCAATGCACGCACACAGACACTGTCTTTCTGTCACTCTCGGTGTCGTTCGAAGGAGAGGGGAATCGAGGCGAACGCTAGTGAGCGAGTTGGGCTGGAAGGCGAAGGGGAGGAGAAGGTGAAGGTGCTGCGGCGAGGGATCCGCTTGACGACTTCGACTGAATATTGTAGCTGGGTCGCTTCGACGTAGGGATTGCCGTACATCCCGCTGAGCCGGATGTCAAGCATTGGGCACGAGGTGCGGCTTGGGTGCGGGAGGCTGTTCGTCGCACCCCTCGACCTCCTGAGCCTCTGGTGGAGTCGTTGATTCCCTTCAGAGCTCGCTGATGCCTCAGATGACACAGTCAATGTGGCGAGGTCTTGCACGATGAGGCTGAGGGAGGCGGAGGAGGAAGCGTTGCAGAGGACGGAGTTGGATGGTGACTGGGAGACGACAGGTTGACCGCCTAGCGGCTCTCTGTGCTTGCCTTGTGCTCCGTAGCTCAACGAAGTGGCTGCTCAACACAAGTGGCGAAGGCGAGAGGAGGAAGGAAATGCGCCGACAGGAGGACGTGCAAAGAAATTCTTTGCACCTCTCGTCGACCTCCTCTGCAGCGACGCCCTCCTGCTCCTCGCGAACGCTCCCTCTGTGCAGCTTTCTAGGCCATTCGAGGTAGGCGCAGCGCCCCCGAGCTCTCCCAACGATGCGCGCAAGGGTCTGCGAGGCGCTCTCGCAACAGCTTGCGAAGGCCAAGGCGAAGAAGTCGGTTTGCGTCTCCTCCTGACGCTTCCAGGCAGCCTTGCCATCACTTCCGCACTTTCGACGTTCTCTCAATGCGCGTTCGAGGAGGCGTATCGAGCGGAGCAACGAGAGGACTCCTTTGGCGCTTCTGCACTTAGTCCTTGCTCCGGCTCTCGCCCTCGGATCCGGAGTTACAGATTTGCCCGTGAAGCCTCAAGGACTTGCCCTCAAGCCTTTACCTTCACCCGTGCTGTCCCCCGTCTCGAAGCCGCTTCGCTTGTCCGCCCTGCTTCGAAGCATCTCGCCGCTTCCCTTCTTTTACCCTCCTCTTCTCGATGTCTTTACTCGCTCTCTATGCAAGCTCTGCGTCTCTCAGTTGGCGCTAATGCTGCAGAACACCTGGTCCGGCGTCACCAGTCTTGCAACACCACACATCCACCTTGCTCTGGGCATTCGACAGCTTCCTTCCTCTGCCTGCTGCTCCTGACGAGCCTCCTGCCTTCCTTCCCTGGCTCCTGTCCTTCCGCTTCACCAACTGCATCTCGCGACCTGCCAACGGCGCCTTCTTCCACTCACAACAGCTCTCGCGTCTTCCACAGTTGCAGGCTGGCTTCTTTCGCTCCCCAGTCAAGCCTGCCGATCGCTAACAACGGGCTCGTCACGACCTTCAGCGTCAAGAGCGTCAAGAACGAGCAGCATGCATGACTCCAAACTCGCATTATGTCGCTTGAGTCACGGCGTACGCCGCGGCAAGCAAGTCTTACGAGACCGGCGGAATGAAGCTGGTGTGGCATAGACGCCGCCGCTTGACCTTGGGTGCTTGTAGTGTGCCGGGATCTTGAACTTGAATTTGCGCAGACAGGACATGCCGTGGGGACACATGCGAGCGGCGGGATTTGCCTGGGAAAGAGGACCGCTTTGCCTTCCTCAGGTCCTCGTCTCCCGTCATTCTCCTGGCGCCCAGTGACGGCAGTGCCACCGTAAGCATCGTGTTAAGGCTGAGCCAGCAACATGGGCAGCGGCTTTCACCTCCCTCATTGCCCTCCCTCCAGCCCGACTCGCTCACCCGCGTCCCCCCTCGACGCCCCTCTCCTTGCAACGACCCCGAGAGCGACAGAGAGACAGTGTCTGTGTGTGTGCATTGCGAGAGAGAGCGGGAGAGCGAGGGCTGAGCAAAACGAGGCGAAGGAAAGGACGAAAGGGAGGTACAGCACGGCGAGAAGCGGAGACTACCTGAACCGCGCGCGCGGCCTACTCGACGGTGACGGACTTGGCGAGGTTGCGGGGCATGTCGACGTTGCACCCGCGCGCGATCGCGACGTGGTACGAGAGGAGCTGGAGCGGGATGATGTTGAGGATGCCCTGGAGGCAGTCGACCGTGCGCGGGACGCGGATCACGCGGTGCCTGCCGTCGTCGAACGACGGGTCCGTGTCGTTCGCGATGATGATCGGCGCGCCCTTGCGGGCCGTCACTTGCTCCAGCGCCGACCGCACCTTCGGGTAGATCGAGTCCTGCGTCATGACCAGGATCACGGGCATGCTCTCGTCGATGAGCGCCAGCGGGCCGTGCTTCAGCTCGCCCGCCAAGATGCCCTGCGCGGCGCGGTAGTGCGGGTGTCAGTTCACGGTGAGAAGGGGATCACAGTCTCGTGCTGCCGGGAATGCCCTAAGTACGGACCTCACTGTGCAGATAGCTCAATTCCTTGATCTTGAGGGCAGCCTCGAGGCAGGTCGCGTGCTGGTACCCGCGGCCCATGATGAGGAGCGACGTCTGCTTGGCGAGCATCGGCGCGATCGCCTGGAACTCGCTGTCGTGCTGGAAGATCGCGCGGATCTGGCCCACAAAGATGCACTCGTCGTCGCAGCATCTGCGCGGCGGGAATGAGCCGCTCGGAAGGAGGAAGGAGGACAAGGCGTGAGAAACGAAAGCAGGTGCGGGTCGGAGAGCGTCGAGGAGGAAGCGCAGTGAGCGCAGCAAGCGAGCGCAGTCGACGGCGACGAGTCAAACAGCACCCGACTAGCCTCCTTATCCTGCTCGAGCAGACGTCAACAGCGTTTGGCTGGAGTCGCCTGCTGTGCGAGTCGAAGTCGGGGTCGTGAGCGAGCGACTCCAGCGTCGAGCAAGGGGCCTCCGGACGAGCGGCGGAGTTCGACAGCCTCGACAGCGTGCCCAGCAACAGCACGCAGCCCATGTGCTCGCATCTGACTGCCAGGCTGTGCGCAGAGTGAGCGAGAGAGAGGAAGAGGGTCAGCGCGCCTGGTTCGTGTCTCGTCGCGGCGGAGTTCTCGGCTTGGCCTGGCGCTGGCCCGCTCTTCCTCTTCCGTCCCTCGCTTTCTCTTCCTCGACGACCGCGGGAACTGCTGGGCTCACCTGCACACGCTCACACTGCTCACTGCCACTCACTCTCTCCAACAACCCGCTCGAACGGCGTCCGCTCATACCGCGCTCGCTTCCCGCCAGCGACACCGCTCCCGCACCTCCGATCACCCTCTCCCGCTCACGGCTCTATCTCTGCAGAGCCAGTCACCCGCCAGAACAGGTGCGCACACTCCCACGACCACCCCGAGCGTGGACCGACGCCGCCGCTGACCTGTCGAAGCACCCGTTCTCAGCACAGTCTTCCTGCCAGGTGGAGCACGAACCCCCACCGTACCGCGTCACAGAGCAGCGACGCACAAAGACCACACGCACGAGCACCGTCGAGTATAGACTCGTAACGACCCGCACTCGCCTCGACGACCTGTAGACGACGACGCCGTTCCTCCCGTCGCACCTCACGCCTTCCCGCACGCCGATCAGCAACTCTCTTTCCGCTAGACACCCTATCCGCCGCCCACCATGTCCTCGACCGTACACGCAAACGGCGACGCATCGCGCGAGCCGCCTCGCCGACAAACCTTTGACCCCTTCGCACCACTCTCATCCACCTCGACAAACGGCCGACCTCCCTTCCCTCAACCTTCCTCGCCCAAAATCCCGACAAGCTCGTTCGCATCGCACAACGAGTCGCCGACCGTCTCGCGCGCCGCCCCGCCTTCCAGCCTCTACGTTCCTTCCGCGCCTTCCAACGGTGGTGCCGGAGTCGACACTCCCTCCGCCACCGCCTGGGGCTTCGACAACAACACGCCCGCCTTGAGCCGAAGCAACTCGCTTGCAGTCGCCTCTCCCGCGTTCCCCCCAACAAGCCCCTCGCACATCCACCCCTCGTACGCCGACTCGCCCCACGCTCCGCTCCTGCAGCAATCCCCTCCCGAACCGACCGAGCCGCCGAAACAACTGCATTCGGCGATCCCGATCGCACCGGAGAGCGCCGGCGGCGGAGGGGACATGTCGTTCTCGACTTCGACGCCTCGAAGTCTTGCGCGGACACCGTCGCCCAACTTTGGGTCCAAGTCACGCAGCGGGTCCGCCCAGCATGGGCACGGGCACAACTTTTCCGTCGGGACGCACGGTCTCCTCTCGTCGCGACAGGTGTTGGGCACGTCCCGCCTCGCCCAGTCGCTCGACACGCCCTCGTGCTGGCTCGCGCTCTACTTCGCCTTCAACCTCGGCCTGACGCTCTTCAACAAACTCGTCCTCCAGGGCTTTCCCTTCCCTTGGACGCTCACGGCGATTCAGATGTTGAGCGGGACAATAGGGACGCAGGTCCTGCTCCAGAGGGGCGTCTTCACCCAGGCGCGACTGACGACCAAGGAGAATGGCATCATGGTCATGTTTTCCGGACTGTACACGATCAACATTGCCGTCAGCAACCTCAGTCTGCACCTCGTCTCAGTACCGGTGCGTTTCGAGCCGGTCTTCGTTCAGGAGTTGTTTGCTGACGCTCGCCCGCACGCGCGCAGTTCCACCAAGTCGTCCGCGCGATGACGCCCCTCTTCACGATCCTCATCACGATGGTCTTTTTCCGCAAGCGGCACTCGCGGCAAACCTACCTCTCGCTCCTCCCCGTCGTCGCAGGCGTCGCCTTCGCCACGTACGGGGACTACTCGTTCACCGCCTGGGGCTTCATCCTCACCCTCCTCGGGACGCTCCTCGCCGCGCTCAAGACCATCATCACGAACCGAGTCCAAGTCGGCCGACTCAAGCTGCACCCGCTCGACCTCCTCGTCCGGATGAGCCCGCTCGCGTTCATGCAGTGCGTCTTCTTCGGATGGTGGAGTGGAGAGTTGGATCGCGTCAGGGTCTATGGCGCGACGGAGATGACCCGCCACAAGGCCATCGCGTTGGCGGTCAACGGCGCGATCGCGTTTGGGCTCAACATTGTCAGCTTCACGGCGAACAAGAAGACGAGCGCGTTGACGATGACTGTTGCGGGTGCGGCTCGACGTTCTCTCTCTTCGACTCGGACTTGCGGCTGATGGGTTTCGGGTGTGCGCAGCCAATGTCAAGCAAGTGCTCGTCATCGTCCTCGCGGTCCTCATCTTCAACGTCTCGCTCAACCCGACCAACCTCTTCGGTATCTCCCTGACCCTCATCGGCGGAGCCTGTGCGTCCCTTCCCTTCCTTCCCTCGCTTGACTTGACTGACGGTTCGGGCGAGCAGGGTACGCCAAAGTCGAGTTGAACGAGAAGAACGCCCGAGCAGCTGCCGCCGCAGCGCAGAACAGCCTCTCGCCCATGCCGCCGAGCAACGAGAAGCTTGGTTGAGCGCGGAAGACGCGGACGGAGGGAGCGGCGGGTTATCTAGACGAGGGCGGCGGCGGGAGTTACTGCGTTATGCTCGTAGGTTTGTGCTGGGTGCATTTAGAGGTACATCTCTTCTCATGAATTGCGTCCCGTCTGCCATTGCTTGCATACCGTTCCTCCTCGATGCGCTCTCCACCACTTCCTCTCCGGCGAGCTTCGGATCAGCCTGATTGCCACTTGTGATACCTTGACGAGTGCTGTGAGCCCACTCGAGTGCTCGCCCGCGCTGCATCGAAAATACTTCTGCGCCGTCGGCAAGCAGTCGCTCTCCGCGTGGTTGGTGTTCGGACGCCGTGTGCTCTTCGCCTCTTTGCTCTGTGGATGCTCAGACGCCTGCCAGCACTCGCAACGAGGCACACACACTCACTCCGCACCATGTCGACCGCCCCGAAGGACATCTACGTCGCAGTCCAGGACAACTCGCTCGTCTCGGCTGCCGCTCAATCGGCTGCGGCAGACGTCGCGCAGCTGTGGAAGGACTCGCGCGCAAAGGACAAGGATACCCGCACGTTCTACAATGTCGGAGGACAGGGAAAGACGGTGGTCGCTGTTGGCGTCGGAAAGGCCAAGGAGCGCAAGGGCGGCGAGGGCGAGGAGAACGCCTTGAAGGAGCAGGCGAGGAGGGCTGTGCGCAACGCTCGCTACTTCCTCCGTGCTACCAGGCTCACTCGCTCTGCTCGCAGGCCGCCGTCGCGACGCACGCGCTCAAGGCCGCCTCGTCCAAGTCGTTCGCGATCGACCCGCTCGACTCGCCTCACTCTGCCGCCGTCGGAGCAACCCTCGCCAACTTTGTCTGGAACCTCAAGACCACGAGCGAGGCCAAGGCTAAGCTTGAGCCGGTCGAGATCAGCCTCCTCGGAGACAAGGCGGAGCCGTCGCTTGAGAGCGAGAAGGCGAAGGAGGGACGGATCCAGCTCGACTGGGAGACTGGAAAGGTCTACGGCGAGGTGCGTGCCGCTCGCTCATTTGAGACGAGACGCCTCGCGCTGACAGCGCTCGCTTCCTCGTCGTAGGCTCAGAACTTTGCCCGCGTCCTCATGGAGACGCCCGCGAACCGCATGACGCCCACGATCTTCTGCGAGACGGCCAAGAAGCAGTTCGAGGGCGTCGAGAACGTCTCGATGGAGGCGCACGACCTCAAGTGGGCCGAGGAGAAGAAGATGGGATCATTCATCTCCGTCTCGCGCGGGTCGGACGAGCCGCTGCGCTTCCTTGAGCTGCGGTACAACGGCGCTGCCAACAAGGACGAGGGTGAGTGCTCTACTCGGCTTTCAGGCGTCGCAGCAGTGCTGACTGTCGCACCGCATCTCGCAGCTCCTCTCGCCTTCGTTAGTCTCGTAGAAATTCAGCTCTCGATCTTCACTGACTTTTCCGCCTCAAACAGGTCGGCAAGGGCATCACCTTCGACTCTGGAGGAATCGTAAGGCGCTCCATCGTTTCCGTCGCCTGCGACGCCAACTGACGAAACATTCCCGTCCCCTTGCAGTCGCTCAAGCCCGGCGCGGGTATGAAGGAGATGCGTGCCGACATGGGCGGCGCTGCGACCACTCTCTCGGCTGCGTGGGCTATCGCCAAGCTCAAGATTCCCATCAACCGTGCGTCGAAGCCGCTCGTTGCTCCGACTCACCCGCTTACTGGTTCCCGGACTCTCCCTCAGTCATCCTCTGCATCCCCCTCACCGAGAACATGCCCTCCGGCAAGGCCACCAAGCCGGGCGACGTCGTCGTTGCCTCGAACGGCGTCACGATCGAAGTCGACAACACCGATGCGGAGGGCCGCCTCGCGCTCGCGGACGCGCTCTACTACGCTTCGTCGCAGTACAAGCCTCACACGGTCGTTGATGTCGCGACCCTGACGGGCGCGATGATGATTGCGCTGGGCAACCAGTGTACGTCCACGCACTTGCCTTCAACCAAATCCGTTCGAGCTGACGCCGGGTTGTGCGCGCAGTCACCGGTGTCTTTACCAACAGCGACTCGCTCTGGAGCGAGCTCGACGCCGCCGGCAGTGCTGAGCGCGACCGTGTCTGGGTAAGTTCGCTTCAACCTTCCTTACGAGCCGCGAGCTGACCTTCCTCGCGCCGCAGCGCATGCCCCTTGACGAGGGCTACATGCCCCAGATCAATTACACCGGGTGCGATTTCACGTTTTCCCCTCCTGACTTGCGCTGACCCGCTCTCGCAACCACAGCATGGACCTGTGCAACACGGGCGGCCGTCTCGGCGGCTCCTGCACCGCAGCCATCTTCCTCAAGCGCTTTGTCGACGGACTGATCGTCGATGGCTCGGACAACGAGAACCAGGATGGCCTGATCCGCTGGGCTCACCTCGACATTGCCGGTTCGTCGGCATTCTGCCCTCTCTAGCAAGAGACTCGCTGACCCGGGTTTCGGAACAGGCGTCATGGACCTTGCGCGCAGCGATGGAGGCTACAACCTCGGCGGCATGACCGGTCGTCCCGTCCGCACCCTGATCGAGTTCGCCCGTCGCTCGGTGAAGGCGTAGAAAACAAGAACAAGGAGATCTTGCTGGGTTCTCGCTCGCGCATAGGCTTGCAAAGTGCATAAGTTACGCCTCATAGCGGACTCGCCCTCTCGAACCTGTCGCATCCCGTCTGCCTCAGGAAGAACTCTTCCCACCCATCGCCCGCGTCCCGGTCTTCAGCCTGCTTCTTCCAGCTTCCTGTCCCGCTCGGACCGTTGAGAGAGGGGGCTGAGCCTGCTAGATGTGCGAGGGCAATGCGGCGGGAGGTTGTGAGTGTCGGGCGCGAGGCGGAGTAGGCGATCAGGCGGAGGAATTGGGATTCGGTCAGAGGGGCGGAGAGGAGGCGGGTTTTGGGCGCTGGAGGTGGTGCGGCGTCCGAACGCGTCGAGGGGTAGAGGTGCGCGACGGAAGTTGGGTGGAGGAGCATGAGGCAGCGCAGGACGTGCACCTGCAGCTCGATCGGCAGTCGGAGGAAGGGGAAGCTCCGCTCGTCTCCATTCTCCTCCTCGACCGCGTTGCCGCCGAATAGTATGCGCGCCGGTCCGACAAGCCTGAGCGCAGCGAGCCTCGTCTCGCGATACGCCTGCTGGTTCCTCCGCTTCGCCTCCTCGAGCCTCTCCTTCCAATCACTCCAATCCTGCCCTTCCTCCTGCTCGAGCAACTCCTCATTCACGCTCTGCCACCGCTCATCGTCGCCCTCCTCATTCGCCAAACACTCGAGGTGCAGCAAATTGCAAGCCTTTCCGTTGATCACGCTCCGCGCGATCCTTCGTACGCCTACCTCGCCCAGCCCGCAGGCGTTGAGCGCGAGGATCTGCAACCGCGCGCCGCCGTCCGGATCTTCAAGCCATCGAGCGAGCGGTTCAGCCGCTTCAGGCGAGAGACGCGTCACCGACAGCCTTAGTTCCGAAAGTTGCGAAGGACCCGCAGCGAGACGGAGATGCGAGAGTAAGCTGACGAGTCCAGAGGTGCCGATGGATCTGTTGCTTGTGAGAGCGAGGCAGCGGAGGGTGCAGGAGGCGGAGGAGAGGGTCGTGCCGAGGAATTCGGGGAGCGAGGTGAGGGTCGATTGGCAGCCGAGAGAGATGTTGTTGTAGTTCAGGTAGAGCGACTTGAGGGATGGAGGGTGTGGCGAGGGTTGTAGGAGGCTGGGAAGTGCGCGAAACACGTCAGGACCAGAGTCTCAGGCAGGAAGGCCTCGAAATCGACGCCCTGCAGTGTGAGGAGATGAAGCGAGACGTCCGACAGTCGACAGTCTGACAGGTTGAGCTCCTGTACGACGCGAAAGGTGCGTAAGAGGCATTGCTGGAGGGGTAAAGCGACTGAACGCACCTCGAGATGCGCGCCAATGTCCCTCGACCGTAATCTCTTCAACCCGACGAGCAGTTCCCGCATCCCATCGTCTCCAAGATGGTTCTGTGAGCTGTAGGCAATCAGGTGAGCAGAGAATCGTATCGTGAGAGCGAGGAGAGGGCCCCACAGCGCAAGAGCAGTCACTCCAGGCGACTTTTCCACCGCTCTCAGCACGGCAACCGCGCCATCTGGTCCACTCAGCTCATGATCAAAGAAGTCAAGTCGCTTCGTCCCGCCCTGTCTCGCCCGGAGGATCTCCCACTCGTGTTCTTGCTGTGAAGAGGTGCCGGGTGTCGAGGAGGAGTAGAAGGCCCGCGGAACGGCGAGCGAGCGGAGGAAGTCGGCTAGGTCGATTGCGGGTGAGCGGAAGCTGGAGAAGGGCATCCTCGAGCTGTGAGACGGTGAAAGCGGTGAGGATGAGGAGGAGGAAGTGGGGCCCGTTTGGTGACGATGTGGGTGCGCCAACAAGGCTCAAGACTAGCGAGTTGCGACGGCGCGGTAGAAGGTTCGGCTGCCCTCACAGACGAGTCAGACAAAAGCAGCGGAAGCGAAGGCAAGAAGAGCTAAAAGAGAAGAGACGACGGCAAAAAGAGAAGTGTATGCTCCCCGACGGGGAATCGAACCCCGCTC